AATTCTTATCCTAGATTATCATTTCATATGAAATCTTGACTGAAGATTTTAAAGCAGGAGGGGTGAGTTTGTGGATTTGAGGCTTGGGTTTTATTAAAGTTATATTGCTCAGTGCATGCTGGACCATAATGATGTTAAAGCCTTTGTTATTCAAATGCTTACTTAATAAGTCATGATCACTTATATGTGATGAAATCTATCAATATCCAAGTATTTTTCTTTTTTAGGACCACTGTTGCATAGGTCTCTTTTTACTTTGCTGACAGAATCTTTGCAAGAGCTTCCGAGAGATCCTCTGATGTAGCTTCAAATTATTAATAAAAACCACCTGTGACTATAAATGTATAATGTTCCCATTTCTTAATATTTTTAGATATATAGTTGTTTATATGCATTCAAACGTACTGCTAGATACAAATGTCAAGAAGACACAGATGAACTGCAGATTGTCTTTTTCATCTACTCAGACTGCTTTGATAAGAGATGTCAGCAGCTTTACAGGTGACCTGTTTATTGATCAGGATGCTAGGGATTTGAACAGACTTCTGTGCAGTGATGCATCGAGGTTTTTACTCTGCTTTGCCCATCAAAAATCACTGAAGTCACTGGTATAGTGAGGATTAAGCTTTAACAACCTATGGGGTTAAAAAGAGAGTTTGTGTGTATATGATCTGCTTTGTGCTACAGTCAACATCTGTCCTTTCAAAAATCATGGTCTGTATTCCCCAAATAGTTCATGGACTAACTAAGTGGGAATTAAAGCAATTGCAGGCAAAGTAGGAGACAGCCCGTTTTTAGTTTATCCAGATGGTTAGACTATAAAAATAAGCTATAAATAGACTGTAAAACAGGAAAGGGCACATATCCCTTTACTGGTTTGGTTGAGCGTGAACACCAGAAATATGAGAGGCTGCACTTGAAAGGACAAGAGATCCATCTCGCTACCCGGTTTCCAACAGCTGGGTACCTGAGAAAACATGTAAGAACAGAGCAAGTGCACAGCACTCTGTTGCTTCAATGATCATTAAGTCTCGAGGAGTTAACAGATTGTGGATTGCAGATGTTTTGCATTTGTATTTAATGACATAAGGTGACCTTCCTTCCATTGATCTAATTGCTTGTATCTCAAGGAAACTTGTTTCTCTTGGACATATACTATTATATCCCTCTCAATAGGGAAGTCAGAGTAGCAAATGTCATCATACCTATGACAAAGCTAGCAGCTCCTTTGATCTAAACAGAATAGGATGGAGGGGAATTGTCTTTTTGCTTCAAAAAGTTAACATTTAAATGGACCAAAGCTGGCTGGGATGTTAATATATCACTGAGAAAAATGGTATGGAGGAGAGTTTATTTCTTTGCTGCTACGATGCTGACAGGAAAGTGTGCTCTGTAATTGATTAACAGGGCACAGTGCATTGACTTATATGGGAAAGCTATTACATCTCAGTAACAGGAAGGTATATATGATTCTGGTTTTAGTAAGTAAAAAATTGGATTCCACAGGAAATAACTAAAACTGCTGAAAGAACTAAAGGTTCCCAAGGGTTTTTTTTCTCTTAAATCTGTAGCAGAACAGTATTTCATGTTCTGAAGGAAGTTTAAATGGTGCAATATATTTAGTGGAACTTTTATATAGGGCTAGAAATATTAGCTTATGTAAGCAGTCTTCTAACTTTTGTTCTGTTGCACCTAAAGTCATGAGTTATTAAAGAGATGTAATATCTTTTTTAAGTCTATTCATTTGAAATATAATCCTTCCCTATAATTCATACACATTTATGGTGGATTTCCTATATTTTTGAAGCCTAAATGAGCAGGCAAGATTGGGAGGTTTGCTTTTTTAAAAAATGAGAAAGTGGGGGGGGGGGTTGTGGTGTTTTTTGGGGTTTTTTTTTGTTTGTTTTGGGGTTTTGTTTTGTTTTTTTTTTTTAAATTTATTAGTTGGTGTCCCAAACAGGCATAGGAATGGATTACAGTTCTAAACAGTAGTGAAGGAAAACTATATCAATTATGTTTTGTTTTTTTTCTAGCTCCCACCCCAATATTGTTGATCCCAACCAAATTAAGAAATCAGAGGGGTCAGATTTAATGCTGCAAAAGCACATGCACACCAAATTAAGTATATTCACAACTGTCTGCAAAAAGTGTGACCACAGTGGCAAATACAGAGTGATACTCCCTGTGGAGTTGAATATATATATGTATTTAACTAACTAAAGCTTCTCTGCTGTATTTTTTTGAATCCAAGAGTATGGGTTAGTGCAAGGTAGGCCATACAGGGAAATGATGATTTAGGAAACTAGTACTCTTTCGAAAAATGTTTTTCCATATTTCTTTTGCATGTCTTCAATACTAACACCAATATAAAAGCTGTCAAATTAAAAGTCAGTAGCTACTGGACCCAGTAAAAGATTAGAAGTTCTGATGAGCTTCTACTATTTGGAGAGGTTTCTTTCAACTGTCATGTTTTTCCTGAGGACATTGCCTAAAATCCGTCTTTATTTTTGTTGCAGATATTAAGGTTTTGCTTACATTTTAAAAAACTTTTAAAAAGTTTATTTGTTATGACCCATGATAGCTCTTTTATTTCTTTATTTTCTTTTATATTCTTATTTTTATTTTCTTTTATTTTTTAGAATATAGTGAGCAATAGCTTCCCGTTCTATTTAGTAATAAATTAAATTGTGTAAGTAGCATCCATTTTTGTATCCAAGTCTTACTAGTATTTTTCCATGAAGATGCAGACTTTTCCCCTCACCCCAATTTGAAGCTATGGGTGGCAGAAAATTGTATAAACTTACCAATTTTCTTTAAAAAAATATGCTGAAAAACCCCTAGGAAACTGAACAAAGGTGCACGTTCAACCTTAGCTCTCATTACTGATGAGAATATGTTTTTTTCCTTTAAATATCATGCAATAAAAGCACAGGAAAATGTTACAAAGAGATTTTGTTGGGTATTTTTAAAATTTTCTGATTATATGTTGTTTTGCTTATAAATGTTTCATTCCATTTTTACCTAGACAATAGGACTAATGATAAATGCCTTTAAGTCTCAAGCTAGGTGGTACTAAGTGACATGACAGCACAAGAAGTTTGCTGTCAGTTTTTAAGCTGAAAACATATTTTTATGAATTATGGAAAATAGACTGCAGATAAAGAAATACTTGAGAAAAACTCTGTCAAATAGTTCTGTATTTCTGTGATTGTGATGTCAAGGACAAAAATTGGCAATTAGGGCAATCTGCTGCTCACTTCTATTCTTAAGCTCTAACTTTTTACTACTTTGACTGAAATAACAGCAACCTGGCACCCAGGATCTTAAAACTAGGCTTTTGCTCCCATATCCCTGCTCCTAGGGAGAGGTGTGTGCAACCCTGGTGTGTCACTTGAGTGGTGTGATGTGAGGAACACCTGGCTGCAGGCTTCTGACCAGATTTGCTGTCTGGTCACAGCCAAAGCAGAGGGAGAAGGGATTTGATCTTTCTGTTTTGTAGTATAAACAATAATGTTTGAAAGCATTTATCTAACCTTGTCAAACTTCCATCATTAAATAGTGTGGTAATGAACTTAAAAGTCACTGGAATTGTCCTTTAATTCAGTGCAGAGCAGATGCCCTTTACTCGTGCTTGTGCTTGTATAAATTCTAGTTTTTCCCTTAACGTTTTTTACCTCAGAGATTTGCAAAAGAAACTTATTTATTTTGTTAAATGTCAAAGTACTGATTCCTGAATTAATGTTCTTCTGCATTTATGTGCTTCAGTTTCTATTGCTGTGAAAGTAATTTTATTTTTTATCACATGAGACTGCACGTTTTAAGTGGACATCATTGTAAATTACTTGATTAACTCACATCCCTTTTTTCCCCATGAAGTTCTTCTTTAGAAGGTATGATTATTTTGACCTTCACATGTTCCAGTCCAACCAAATCACCGGTTTGTTATTATTCCAAAACTGTATGTTGTGGCTGATCACTAAATATCCTCCTTATGTGTATTTAGACCTGTGATGGTCTAGACCACCTACGGTGATCTAATGTTTTCTAGATACATAAATTGAGGATGTTTCCACTTGCACTAGAGCTTGTGCTGCAATGCACGTGTTTAAAAAGATTAGTCAAGCTTACTGGTGTAGGCTAGGGCTTTTTTTTAGTTGTACCTGTAAGGTAAATGAGTAATTTAAGCTATATATTTCTCCCATCTGTTGAAATGCCTTACAAAAACTAGAACAAAGGATAGTACATTAACTAAGTATTTGAAAAATCCAAACCCATATCTCTACATTCTAATTTATGTCATACAACAACAGGAGATTTTTTTTAAACTTTTTTCTTCATTAGAAAACCAAAGACTGATTTTGGGTTTTTACATCTTACATGCTAATACCAAGTTAATCTTCTTTATAACTGAGTAAAATGGAAGCAAAATGTTCAAATGGATTATAGAGATTAGTTAGTATAATTTTTTTTCTGTGAATCTGTTGTAAGTGATAATTCATAGGCATTCATTAGTGTCTCCGAATTTTTCTTTTTTTTAAATATCAATTTATCAGCACTTCTATTACATAAATGAAAATTTATATCTTATCTACTTCTTACAGAGCTTTCATGATAATTCTTTTCTTTAGCATTAGATTATGTCACCAAAAACATTCCAGGTATATCAGGGCAGGTTTTTTTTGTGGTTCAACTGTCGCATCCCTAAGGAGAGTGGTGGCCCATGGTTAGACTTTACTATTATCTAATTTTGTCCTTTGTTGAAGTCCTTTTTTTTTTTCCTTCATGTCAAGGTGTGAGTATGTTTTCTTGTGGGTTTTGGGGTGGGTTTTTGTTTGGTTTATTGGTTGCGGAGCTGGGATGTAGCTAAATGCATTCCACATGCCACACGTGAAAAATAACAGGGTTGTGTTACCACCAAAAAAAAAAATAAAGAGCACATTGCGACTTAATATATATGAATAATGAAGAGCATAAAGTGAATATGTTTTCTTGTGTTTCAGAAAAGTGCGATGAACCTCTGGTCTCAGCATTACCCCATTCCTCCTTCAGCAGTTCATCATCTATGACAAGCAGCTATGTGCCGGGTTACGCCAAGTTAAACAAGAGAGGAGGTAAGGGATGCTCTCAACATAATGTTCAGATATTTCAAAAAATGATGAATGATATTTTTAATATCAAAATGCTTTTTATATGGAGTACTATTGCTTACTTTTGTTTTAACAGTTTTAGCTGTCTGACAGACTGTTTTGAAGAGAATGAATTTCTGTTTTGTTGTATGGGACAGTAATTGCATTCCATTACACTGCAGGGAGAAGTACACTACTAATAACATGTAGCAGCATGGGCCAAATGCCTAATGTGGATGGAGTCATACAGTACAGCTGGATAACTGACTAGTTAAATGAGCATACCTGTCTTCACCAGGTACATGAACAATTGCAAGGTCATGGCTGTTGAAGCAAAACTAAAGAGCTTTGACGTGCTTTGTTGATTTAACTTGTACCCACCTTAGAAATGACTGCTGTCATTCAGTTTTTTTCTAGCACCACAGAAACTTTGGCTTTTGCACATATTTCTGTAATGTAATGAGGTGTTGATAAGAAGTTACAAAGCCACCTCAGCTTTGTGGGTTGGAAGAATAGGTATGTAACTTTGTTGGCCTACCTGGTCTAATTATATCCTTAGGGTTAAGCAAATTTATTTCACGGTCTGAACACAAAACTTTATCTTCACCCATAGGAATTTTCATAGCTTTTCTTGATATTTCTAGGTGTCTGTTTATATATCATCTTAATTTCCCATACATTTAAACATAAAATTTTAGATTAACAGAAAATTAGTATTCTGAATATTATTGGTTTTATTTTTTTCAAAATAGTATCAATCTAAAAGTTCTAAAATATAAAATATCACACATTCCTGTGAATTAATGCTCAAATTTTATCTTTCTCACAAAATACATGTGAAAGGTATAATAAGTTGACTTAATGAACTTAAAATTTAAAAATATTTCAATGTAAGGATGAAGAAGAGAGAGCAAATGATTATAGTGCCCTTATCTTCTAAATCCTGAAATTGTGTAAGAATGACAAAATACCAGACTTGTAGAAGGTTGGCTTAGTTGCATTGCTGCCTCACTTTTTCTGCTCCTGCGGGAATTGTGTTGCTTCTGCCTGGATACCATGTTCTGCCTCCTAAAAAAACAAACAAACAAACCAACACCATAGAAACAAAAGTTACAGCCTTTTGGATTTGGGTGGTAAACAAAATCTGGGATATTACCAAATGGTGGAATATTTCTGAGGTTAAAAGAAGAATTTTTTGCATCAAAATTATACCCTAGGCTTCCCATATTCTCCACCCATTTTTTATAGTAGTTTGTGCAGCTTCTGAGCCAAAAGTTCCCCCATCTTATGAACAATGCCATGAATTTACTGCTAGACTAATTCTAATCTTAATCAAAGAATAATTATCAGCCTAGCTATTATTAAAAATAAAAACAAACAAAAACAAAAGCACAAAGAAAAACCAAAAAAAACCAAACAAACAACCCCCCCAACAAAACAGTGTTACACTCATGTTGTCACAACTCCTCCAAGTCTTATAGTGGATGGCTCTATCTGGGGTGGGGACTATGGTGCATTGTCAGTGTCCTAGACTCTTAACTGGAGGAGGATGCAGATGGATGAATCAAGACCTGCTGGTCACACTAAAGGGCAAGAAGGAAATGCACAGAAAGTGGAAGCAGGGTATCCAGGGAGCAGTATAGAGTCATTGCCCAGTTGTGCAGTTAAATAAGGATGGAGATAGGAAGTCCGAGGCGTGGCTGGAACTGAACTTGGCAAGGGACATGAAGACTGATGAGAAAGTCTTCTACAGGTATGTCAGACAGAAAAGGAAGGTCAAAGAAAGTGTAGCCCCATGATGAACACAATTGGCAAACTGGTAACAACAGATGAGGTACTCAAGAACTGTTTTGCCTCAGTCTTCATTGACAACCTTTCTTCACACACCTCTCAAGTGGATGAACCTCAAGGCAGGGACTGAGGGAGCAAAGTCCCTACCACTGCAGGAGATCAAGTTCATGACCATCTGAGAAACTTAAATGGACATAAGTCTATGGGACCTGATGAGATGTATCCCAGTGTCCTGAGGGAATCGGCTGGTGTAGTTGCCAAGCCACTCTCCATATCTGAAAAGTCACGGCAGTCAGGTGAAGTCCCAGGTGACTGGAAAAAGTGAAACATTGCACCCACTATTAAAAAGGGCAGAAAGCAGGACCCTGGAAATTACTGACCTACCAGCCCCCCCTCGGTGCCTGGGAAAATCATGGAACAGATCCTCCTAGAAGCCATGCTAAGGCACATGGAGGACAGGGAGGTGGTTTGGGACAGCCAGCACAGCTTCACCAAGGGCAAATCCTCCCTTACCAACCTGGTGACCTTCTATGATGGAGTGACTACACCAGTGGAAAAGGGAAGGGTTACAGATGTCATTTATTTGGACTTCTGTAAAGCCTTTTACGTGGTCCCCCACAACATCATTTTCTCTCAATAAGAAAGATGTGGATTTGATAGGTGGACTATTCAGTCGATAAAGAATTGGCTTGATGGTCGCATCCAGAGAGCAGTGGTCAACAGTTTGATATCTGGATGGCAGACCAGTGACGAGTGGTGTCCCACAGGTGTCTACGTTGGGACCAGTACTGTTTCATATTTTCATCAATGACATAGACAGTGGGATTGAGCGCACCCTCAGCAAATTTCCTGACAACATCAACCTGAGTGGTGTGGTTGATGTACCTGAGGGAAGGGATGCCATTCAGAGAGACCTGGATAGGTTCAAGAAATGAGTCCCCATGAACTTTATGAGGTTCAACAAAGCCACGTGCAAGGTGCTGCACCTGGATCAGTGCAAAACCTGGTATCAATACAGGTGGGGGATGAAAGAGTTGAGAGCAGCCCTGGATAGAAAGACTTTGAATTTACTGGTGGATGAAATATTGGATATGGGCTGACAACACGTGCTTTCAATCCAGAATGCCAGTGTATCTTGGACTGCATCAAAAGAACCATGGCCAGCCGATCAAGGGAGGTGATTCTGCCTCCCTTCTCCACTCTTGTGAGAAACCACCTAGATTTCTGTGTCCAGCTTTAGAGTCCTCAGTTCAGGAAAGATATGTACCTGTGAGACCTTTCAAGGTTCTTTTCTTTAATATTATTATTCTATGATTCTCTGTCAATGATAACTTTGGATCTGCTGGAAGTCAATGGGGTGAGGGGAGCTGCACAGTTATGGGGGTCAAGCTGTAAACAGGTGTTAAACTGGTGCAGGTGGTGTCACGTCCACTGAGGCACCTTCCCCTGCCCACAAGCAGGGTTAGTAATGGTGGTACCACAAAGCAGGTTCTGCCAGTTGTCTCAAGATCATCACACACAAATGGATGAGCCAGATCTGATGTCAAGCCAGGAAGCAAAATCTGTAAGTGGGGAAGAACATGAGATGGGTCCGGGTGTGGATATTCCTATGATGTGGCTCAGGTGGAGTTTGGAGGCTGAAATGGAGCCCCCAGGCTCACAGGCAAGGTTAATGAGTTCTCTACTGGGATGGGCAATTAGGGCCTGTTGGTACTCTCAGGGCCCTGACATCGATCTTGGTTTATTGGTTCACAACTTCTCTGTATATTTGTGGTTTACATGTGTAGAATTCCTGTTCTTTGATCTCTTTATTGTTGTCTTTTTTTTTTCTCTCTAAAATCAGTGTTAGCCAAGTCCCAGAGCTACTTTCTTTTAATGACTAGTAATTGACCTAGAGAGGTGCTCATAGCCCTGCTTCCTCTGGTGCCGCCCTGTGTTTGTCCTTTCAATACCTCTGCTGTCACCCCATCATTGTAATCTTCTGCACTACATTTTTATTCTACAGTAATAGTTGATTCTCTGCAGAATAGCTACTTTAGGTACAGACATATATGAAAATTGTTATAACAATAGTCACTAGCCCATGCAATCACACAGCTAAGTTAAAAGTAAAATAGACTAGGCTGTGTTACCTGGTTGTTAGAGAATTGTTATTGTAACTAAGCAAGCTAAGGAGAAGCCTAAGACTAGCTTAGAGAAAATATGACTGACATGCTCTAGTCCTGCAGTCCTGCAGATGTGATTCAAAGCCTATTGCCTGATAGGAGTAGTGGCAATATCTTTGGTTTTAGGCCTGGAGACTAGTAGATAACATGATTTGTTGCTCCTGAATGAGAATAGATGCTCTTTTATGCTGGTTACAGGCTTTTACTACAGTGTTCCCTGTATTTTGTTCCATGTTTTTTGTAGTTTTCATTCTTTCTGTTGTAGTATGTCTGAACATGTGTTTTGATAGGCTGTTGGGTCCCTTAATTTCTGTGTTCAACTGTTCATTGTCCAGATGAAAGAAGTTAGGGGGCGCTTCAATTCTAAAACACTGTTCATCATTTAGGTTGAATTCTGTTGTATGACCATAGTTATGTTCGTTTCTGTTCTATTCCCTGTCCTAAAATAATACAATTTAGCATCAACTTGGTGGGGAGGATCTTCACTTTGCTTTTAGGTGAGTATTTCTTCTTTTAGTTTACTAGACTACTTATTATAATCTAAGTGAAAAGCAAATCAGACATTTGGAATTTAATTTTTCCCTTTAATTATGTTTAACCTCCCCTTTCTTACCCTAATAATCACTATAGTGCAGTTTCTTTTAATGATGTTTCTTTAGCAACATGGATCAGTGCCGTCATTAATCAAACATTTGCTTAATTTTCTCTGTCAAAAAGTCATTTGAAATTTAGTTGCATCGCTTTGTCAAATAGTAGTTGCATCTCTGTTTAAATAGCAACTTCTCTAGGTTGTTGTCCATCTATTAATACCTATGAAACCTAGCTTACATACTTTTCAACACTGAACCTTCTTTATGTACATTAACAAATATTGTTTTCCTAGTTCTAGTGCCAGTAAAAGTATTGCAGAACTCAGGAGTGTGTTTAACACAGGAACTTGGCCATCTCTGTGTTTATGCTTCTGCTTCTACAAGTGATGGAAAATAGCTCAGTTTTAATAGTGAGCTATTTTATAACTTTGTGGAATTA